CAGTACCTAGGTATGTCCTTGTGACTATAAGACGTTGTTCTCCCTCGGTCCTTATAATTGATTTTTGCTTAGGAGCTCTAACCACTGTTCATACTGTAAGTTATTCTACTCCAGTCCATTAGCTACGAACTAATGACTAGAAATTTGTGCATAAATCATTATTATAATTCTTCTTACTGCTTTATCTAATATCTGTCTATATTTCTGAGATGAGGTATTTTTTTTACATTATTTACATTATTCGGACTATTGTCCTCATCTTTGTCGCCATATTTATCACAACGTTTCGGCTTTTGTACGCTCCGGCCTTCTTCAGGTGGTTGGAATGTCGAACTTAACCCTTTATTTCGTTCACTGGGTTAGACCTCGTTCCACGTGACATGTTTGATGGATGTCAGTTATCGCCTGTTAATTCCCCTCTCCAAGTTCTCCACTGCATTAAACAGGTATTGGACTCACTCTTTGGGTCACTGGATCTAACTAACACCTTTATCCACTGTGTCATGTGTCATTGTGGATAAAGGCGTTGGGTAGATCCAGTGAGAGGACGCAAAGAGTGTGAGTTCAATACCCGGTTAAGACAGTGGAGAACTTTTAGAGGGAAATTAACATGAGATAACTGATAGCTGACATCCATTAAACATGGCACGTGAAACTAGAACAGTCTACCCCAGTTAGCGAAATAAAGGGTTAAGTTCAACATTCCAACCACCTGAAGAAGGCCGGAGCGTACAACGGCCGAAACGTTGTAATAAATATGGCGACAAAGATGAGGACAATAGTCCGACTAATGTAAATAATGTGCTTTATTTAAATGTTGCAAAATCTAATATCCGTTTGTGTTTTATAGTCCACCCTTTTCTGAGTACTTGGAATGCTTTTTAAGTGAATGTACTTGAACTTAGTATGACACGAGGCCATAAAAATGGAGTACCTGGTTACCTTGGACTAGCTAGTAATATCTTTGTAATTTTGTATGCATGAAAGACAATTGAAATCTTTTTTTTTATGTAGTGTGCTTTTCATTTAACGTGAAAATGTTTAGACACTTGGTGACTGACTGAAATGGCTACTTATTAAATTTGATTTCGCTTTGAAAAAAGGTCACTGGCATAAATCCGTAAAAATTGAACTGACTTTTCAATGGCAGATATCAACCAAAATAGCTCGGTAAACATATAACGACATCAACGAAAAGTAATTCGTAAACAATTAGCGATTTTCAAAGCGTAGCTCAGATGTGGCACAAGGCCGAAAGTATGGGGCACCCAGTGAAATTCGTAAACATTTAACTACAGCAAAGCGCACTAGTGCTTTAAATTTTTACCTGGAATAATTTTTCCCTTTATCTGAAAAAATTTGGAAGGTTTATAACTTTATGCATCACTATACTTTAGCAATATAGACTGAAGTATATATGAGAGTGAGGGTAATCATGGATGTGTGGACGTTATATATATATTATATATATATATATATATATATATATATATATATATATATATATATATATATATATATATATATACCTTTCCCTGCCAAAATAGTAGCCTCTTTAAACGGCCCATGGCTGTTATAACAATAGTTTGAAAAAAAAATCATCGTCCAAACATATATTTTTAAGCACTCACATTTACTTATACGAATTGGCTTACGGCTATATCACCTCGAAACACCAGTTTTTGAACAATCAGCGAAGTTAAGCAACATCGAACCTGTTCAGTATCTGAATGAGTGGCCGCTTGGAAATAACAGATGTGGAAAGCTTGGATGCGCAGTGGTTTAATGGATAACGGCCCGGTATTGGAAATTGGAGAACCGTGTTCTAATTCCAGTCGGGTTCGTTATATTCCATTACGCGCAAATATCTTTGACAAAGGCATGAATCCACATATTCTCCCTACGAATATGGGTTAATGCGTAAGACTTTTATAAGTAAACGATTATTATTTTTAAAAAAAGAACATATTAAAATCTAAGAAGTATTTTGTTGTTTTAAATTACCCGCAAAAGCCGTAAAAAATACAAATCACCCTCATACTAAATAATTTTTACGTTACTTAAGATAGTTTTTATGATGCGTCAAGAGAGAGAATAAGAGACTTAGATTGCGTTGTTTTATAACACAACTTAAGAGGGTGGTCAGTTAATTCTTTAGACGTTTCTCCTATCGATAGCTCAATTCCCAAAATAAACTACGTTTAGACAGGCACAACAGACGTTGATATGTAGTAATGTATAATTCCTTTATTAATCATTAAAAGAAAGAACGATACTCTCAATTGCTGCTTGGGATCTTACACGTCCATGCCTAAGTAGCGTAATGGTTACTGAGCTTATCTTGTTAGAACAATTACAACTGAATAGTGAGTTCGATCCTCTCTCGGTACACCACACATTCGGTTTTGTGCCACATCTAAGCTACGATTAGAATATCATCAGGTCAATTCGATGTGATGTAATGGTGAACACGTTTGTCTCGCTCGATCAATTACTACTGATTAGTGAGTCCGTTCCTCACTGGATGCCAAATCTAAGTTACTCTTAGTAAATCTCTAAAAGGCACTTCGATGCAGTGCAATGGTTACCAAGCTTCTGTCGGTTGAGCACTTGAGGCTAAATAATGAGTTTGATACTTACTGGGTGCCCCATACTTATTGCCTTGTGCCACATCTAAACTACATTTACAAAACCAACATCCACCTTTTGGTGTGATGACGGTACTTCGATTTGGTTTAATAGTTAGCAAGCTTGCTAGATTGATTACGACTTAAGAGTGGTTTCGATTTCTCACTGGATGCCCCAAACTTTAGGCCTTGTGCCACACCCAAGCAACGCTTAGAAAATCACAACCGCATATTTCTTACTCGCGTAGTGATAGCTCTGTTCGAAACCGGGTTAAAAAACACGATTTCGAATGCTGATTTTCAAGGCAGGAAGGCATCTTTATTTTTTTTTTTTAGTAAGACGCAACATAGTCTTCATTTTACGTTCTGCTATATTAAAGTATAATGTATAATTAATTATAATCTTTAGCATTTCACCTGCCGGGCATTTAATCTGTCTCACTCAAACACCAATTTTATTCTCTAAATACTAAAATCTGATTAAATTTCGTGCGAAATTACTCAAACCTAATGTCCCTATGGATTATAAAACGTTTCGTAGCAATGTCTTTAATTATTCCGAGTAATTAATAAATGAATTGGAAAAATCAGTTCCGTTTCATATTATGAAATGAAGTCTCTGCAAAACGGAGATAACAAAATATTGTATGAAACACAACGTTCATTAAACTTGCTGTGGCAACGGCGAAGTCTGTGATGCTTTAGTAAAAGGCCTTTTGTGTAAAACAATTATTTTATTCGATAACAGTAAATCATCAAGTAACTAAAGCAATAAAATAACTTGAGGGAGAATAAACCGCAGATTAAACAATATTGGAAATGAATTGCTGAAGGAATATTTGTTTTCTGTTTAGTTATTGTAGGATTTATATTATCTTTATATGCCTTGATTGATTGCTCGTGTTGAAGATGAGTGTTTTTCTTCTTCCGTGTGAGTTTATGAAAACATTATTAACGATGACACCTTAAGCTTTGCAACTATTTAAGAATCGCTAAAAACATAGAAAAAAACATTAAGAAACAAATATTTGATGCTTGTTTAGATTTTTTTTTAAATATTCAAGTCAAGATATTTCCACCATCGCAACTATTCATTATTAGTTAATTTCTTTATTTTACGAGAACAGGCTTCCATATTGGCCGACCTTGTGCCAAATGTCAGTGTTCAGTTCTAAATAAAAGCCATGATTTCGACTGGTGTAATTTCAAAGGCTATCTTTTTTCCACACAGAAACCGGTGCAATCCAACTTTCCCGGACTTCATTTTGGCCTTGTGCCATGACCCTCTAATCAACGTAGACTTGAACTTGTAGTAAGAATAGACAATGAATTCATGCCTTGCTCAGGATAGTCATGCGAAGTGAACAGAAAAGAATTGGTCTAGATTTGAACTTTGTTGGCCGATACCACTCTCCGTCTCGATACCTGTTAAGTGATCTCCATATTTCACAGTCAGGCTTAGCCGAGCATAAAGCTATTGTTGTGAGTCACATACGGAAATTTCAACTACCCTTATTCCGTGAGATAAATACATTAGCCACTGGTTTTCAGTTATTATTATTATTATTATTATTATTATTATTATTGTAGTAGTAGTAGTAGTACTAGTAGTATATAATATAAGTTAGCACATTGATATTGGTTTTGTGGAATGGTGTCAATAAGACTCTACAAAACTCAAGAACTTTTCGGACAATCCTCGCAGATGGTAGATGGTAGATTTCTGGAGGTATTGAAGTTGGAACCAATATTGTAATGTTCGTACCAATTCCAATTCTCCCTAATAATAATAAAAATATTTTTTTTGTCAGTGGAAAGTGTCATGACGCCATTTCTAAACTTAGGTCCCTGGGCAGGACCCGGAAAGAAATGTGTAAACGCCAGAAATCAAAGAAAATAATAATAACAATAATAATAATAATAATAATAATAATAATAAATATTATTATTATTGTTAGGTTAGTCTGGTGCATGTATATATAAGTCGAACAATTGCTGAAGATCAAGCTCACAACATACTTCCTGATTTGCCAGATTAACTTGTAAAATATTCCACTGTCGTGTGGTGCCGATTTTATGATGTAGCAACCATAGAGGTTTCACTTGTTAGCTAAAGTAAGTGGCTAATCTCATCTGGAAAGTTGTCTGGTTTGTCTTTACAGTTAAGATACAAAATCTTAAAGACTTAGATAGACAAAGTGAGTGATAGCGATTTCGATAGACAGATGTTAAATAAGCAGAAAGAAAGATATATTAGACATTTCGATAGATAGATAGATAGATAGATAGATAGATAGATAGATAGATAGATAGATAGATATAGTGATTTACAGAGATAGATATAGCGATTTAGAGAGAAAGATACATACATACACACATATAGATAGATAGATAGATAGATAGATAGATAGATAGATAGATAGATAGATAGATAGATAGATATAGTGATTTACAGAGATAGATATAGCGATTTAGAGAGAAAGATACATACATACACACATATAGATAGATAGATAGATAGTAGATAGACAGATAGATAGATATAGTGATTTACAGAGATAGATATAGCGATTTAGAGAGAAAGATACACCTACACACACACACACACACACACACACACACACACACACATATATATATATATATATATATATATATATATAGATAGATATATAGATAGATAGATAGATAGATATAGTGATTTAGAGAGTTAGATATAGCGACTTAGAGAGAAAGTACATACACACATTTAGATAGACAGATAGATAGATAGATAGATAGATACATACATACATACATACATATAGATAGATAGATTTCGATACTTATATTAAAGACAGATTGATAGAGATAGCGATTTTTTATAAATATACGTTAAAGACATAGCTAGCTAGGTACATGGATAAATATATATATATATATATATATATATATATATATATATATATATATATATATATATATAGAGAGAGAGAGAGAGAGATAGATAGATAGATAGATAGATAGATAGATAGATAGATAGATAGATAGATAGATAGATAGATTATCATTCACCCACAGTTTAATCAGTCGCCTACCTAAAACTAAACCTCATACAAACGAACCCAACTATTAAGACATATTGATTAGGAACGTCGCCAGAGTATTGCGGGCCAGAAAATGTACACAGCCGAGGGAAATGCAAATAAAAGCTGGACGCGCGCGTCAAAAAATGGAAAGAAGAAATATAACGTATTCAACAAGTCGCTCTGTTTACCGTCAGCGTTTTCTTTCTTAAAGTTCCCAGTCGTTGTATTTGCTCGAATCTAACAAACCCCAGTACTGTTTATCGTCCTTGCATTTTATCGTTTCTATCTCAGGTCTCAGTCTTTTTATCTTACCCTGCTTTTTTTTACTACCAACTCAACTACCACGCCCTACATTTTCTGTCGGTCTGTCTACCTTTTTATTCACATTTAAGCTTCCTTTTTATGTCTTATTTTCTTTCTTTTTTTAACAGTCTTTTTGTGTTTCATTTTTAACTAGTAGTGCCACAACCGATTCATTAGCGTTCACATCAGTTATTACTGTCGCTCTTTCCCGCCACTCTCTTTCTTTCTCCCCTCTCTCTCTTTCTCCCCCCCTCTCTCTCTCTTTCTCCCCTCTCTCTCTCCCCCTCTCGCTCTTTCCCCCTCTCTCTCTTTCTTTCTATCTCTCTCTCTATATATATATATGTATTTCTGTTCATAATTATCTATCTATTTTTTTTAATTCTGTTAATATCTATGTATTTAATTCTGTTCATATTGTTCTATTTAGCTACATCGTTCATATCTATCTATCTAATACTGTTCATGTCCATCGATGTCCTTTACTAAGTCACTCAGATCTATCTATCTATCTATCTATCTATCTATCTATCTATCTATCTATCTATCTATCCATCTATCAATCAATCTATCTATCTAGCTAGCTAGCTAGATAGCTAGCTAGCTAGCTCTATATGCAGATAGACAGATAACGATCTATGTATGTCTATTCTATCTCTCTATCTTACGCTATTGTTCACACACTACAAGCCTGAGAGTCACTCAATATATAACGTTGCTGAACGAAGTAAGAGGAAAAAAGTACGAAGTGATACTATGAGGATATATACGATAGAGAACACCCTTTATATGAACAGGTCAATATTGTAGTGGTCGAGAAGCATCGTCACAGGATTTTGTTGTAAACGAAGCGGCGCTTGGAAAGAGTTTCTCTGTATGGTACTTTTTCTTACCAATGGGGGAGGGAAAGAATGGTTCGCTCCTGTGTACATGTCGGATCTTAGGTGTAAATATCTGAAATAGGGGAACAGAAGAATATATCTTGTCAGAACATTTTCATCTATCTATCTATCTATCTATCTATCTATCTATCTATCTATCTATCTATCTCAGCCTATTCACTATCTATCTATTTATCTCAGCCTATTCACTATCTATCTATCTATCTATCTATCTATCTATCTATTTCTGTTTCTTTTTCTCTCTATCTGTTTCTCTCCCTCCCTCTATCCCTCTTTCTGTATCCTCTGTGTATATATATATATATATATATATATATGAGTCTTTTCATATCTATTTATTTCACTTTATTCATATCCACATGCCTATTTCAATATATTCATCTGTGTGCATATGCATGCATATATATATATATATATATATATATATATATATATATATATATATATATATATATAGATAGATAGAAGATATATATATATAATCTAACTCTGTTTATATCCATCCCAATTTTAATCTTTGTCGTTCTCGATTCATTTAAAATATTTAGGACGCCTACCATACTATGCTCACCTTTTATAAGTTTCAGCAATCTGCTCGTCTTGTGACTTAGATACTTTACGAGTTTCCCCACTTTGTTCGATAAATACAAGGAAATTCGTAGTGTTAAGTATTTACATGAATTCGAACTACTACCATCCCAGCCATTGTAAAATCCTTAGCTCCATCAACTATAACTTTCTCCATTCCTGTCACCTACGTCCTCTATGGTGAATTTTAGCATTGATTTAAGACTGTCATCTGCAAGTCACCCACCACTGGGGTCTACGAGTAGCGTTGGAAAAAACTACCTCTCTTTCATTTTTTCTTCATAATTAATATTAAATTTAAGATGAATCCTGTTCGTGGCTGTGACTAAATGCCTAAAAAAAAAAGGTTTCATATCTCTTTAAAGTTTCTCTTATTAATATTTAATAAACATGGCTGGGCACGAGATACCAGTACTAATAAAAAGGAATGAATTAGATTTCGTTAAATCGAACGAGAGTCTAAGGTTTTCTTTCTATTTTTTTTAACAAGTATTTCGTTACATTTATCTTAAAGGGATACCAGTTCTACCAATGCTATAGAATTTTTACTTTAATTCTGATCTGCGCTGTGCGCCTACGAGTGTAGAATGACGATATTGATTCTGTAAGCAAAAAATAAACAAATATAAAGTGTATATAGCTAAATAGAGAATTTGTCATTTTCAATAGATGAAATTCTATTGCATTGGCGTATTACCTGGGCTTGAACACGAACCAGTGGGCGAAAGTCAGAAACACGCACCCACCTCAGGTTTCAGGCAAGCCCCGACTATTTTCACGACTACTAACTTATTCCTCCCACTTTATGTTCTTGTCGTCTCCGCCTTTTATTTAATGCGTTTTGCTCGTTTCTAGCCCTCTATTACTTTCGTTCCAAGAGCGATAAATTTTTTTTCTTCATTGCTTCATATTTCTCCTTCTCTCCACGCACTTTCTTTTTTCTCTTTCTCTTCTTTATCTGTCTCTCTCTTTCTTTCTTTCTTTCATTTTGTCACTGTATCTGTGTATCTAACTGCTTACAATACTGCGATGGTTAACAAGGCTATGTAATGTGTAAGTGCAATGACAATTAATTGGAGTTCCTACTGATATCAAACAAAGCGGGATTAAAATAAACGTAATCATGTATTCATATATGCAAATACTGATTAGCTAGCTAAATAGTTGCCTTTCTTATTCTATTCGTTAACTCTCTCTCTATCTGTCTGTCTGTCTATCTATCTATCTATCAGACTCTGTTCATATTTGTCTATCCCAGTGTCATCATTATCTGTCTGTCTGTCTGTCTCTATATATATATATATATATATATATATATATATATATATATATATATATATATATATATATTGGTAGATGAATGCATTTTGGCATACAGGATAATTATTTTGTATTAGACTCTAGCTTGGGCCAAAATTTTCGAACGGTACGCCGCACAGGATAAAGTATCTCAGTACTATAAAAGATATAATATTTAAAAATAAATAATATCAACGATGTATTAGCATCTTAATATATATATATATATATATATATATATATATATATATATATATATATAGAGAGAGAGAGAGAGAGAAAGTTATAAATATATAGAAACAGACGGATAAATAGAATGATATATATGAAAAGAGATAGATAGATAGACAGACAGATAGATTTGAAGATAGATAGATAGATGAGGACGATGTATAAGAGGTGCTTCGTCGTAGAAAATAGCTAGTGAACAAGCTTAAGACGCCATTGCTGCTCTGTATATTGTTCGTAAATAAAACCCGGTCTCTATACCTTGCACCAGTCTAAGCTGAGATGTCTGCTTCCTATTTGCCTTATCAATTTATATATATTTAGAGATAATGAGTAAACCTCGTTTCTCCAGGCACAAAGGATTATAAAAGTGGCGCCAATTTTTCACATTCGAAATGGCCTCACAGCCTTGAAACTTAATATGCCAAGTTCTGGATCATAGAATATCGATCAGTTCTTCTTCTTCTTCTTCTTCTTCTTCTTCTTCTTCTTCTTCTTCTTCTTCTTCTTCTTCTTCTTCTATGTTCTGTGTCTCTGTTGGTCTTGGGTGACCACAGCTCTCTACAACTTCCAGTCATTTGTAGTCCTTAGTATAGTTTTCCTTTTTTCCAGATCACTTAATCCCTGATCTGCCAATCATTTACACAAGCTCGTTAGGCAGGTGTTATGAGCTATTTCTTCTCTCTCTTTTTGTATTCAATATGTACTGCGAGTGTCGAACATTCCAATCCCTCTTTTCTCATTACGAGTTCTATAAATTTCAACTTCCTCTTTATGATGCTCTGCATAAGTGTGTTTTCTTTCCGTTTCTCTAAAACTTTTTCGTTGCTCAAGAGTTCAGCCAACGATATTCTCAACATCCTTCTGTAGAACCACATTTCTAATGCCTCATGTCATTTCTCCCTATGTGTTAAGATCGTCCAGTAACAATTGACATAACTGTCAAGTACTCTTTCATTTGTTAGCCGCAAAATATGCCTGTCTCTTAATTCTTTACTTACATTTTGAAAGGCATCTTCCTTCGACTTTCTGTGACGCATTTTCAGTCATCTGTTAAAGAATTTTTTAGATATTTAAAATTTTCCGCTTGTTAGTAGAAGTGTAATAT